AATTTTGACTTCAAAAGGCCATTCTACTATTCTATCAATCCAACTGCCTCAGAATGATGGGGAACATGGCAAGACCAGTGAATTTCATAAGCATGAGCCCAGTGCCACACTTCTTTAGCCGTAAAGTGCCTTGGTCAGAGGCAATGTTGTGTGAAATACCTTGATGGTGGATAAGGCATTCCCTGAGTCCATGGATGGTAGTCCTGGCAGAAGCATTGCACGCAGTATAGGCAAGCCCATATCCAGACTAAATGTCTGTTCCAGTGAGGACAAACCTCTGCCTTTTCCATGATGGAAGAGGTCCAATAAAATCAACCTGCCACCAGGTAGCTGGCTGATCACCCTGACGATTGGTGCCATATCGAGGGCTCAGTGTTGGTCTCTGCTGCTGGCAAATTGGGCACTCAGCAGTGGCCATAGCCAGGTCAGCCTTGGTGAGTGGGAGGCTCATGTTGCTAAGCCCATGCATAACCTCCATCCCTGCCACCATGGCCACTTGTTTATGGGCCCCTTTGCAATGACAAGGGTGGCTGGGGAAAGAGGTTGAATGGTGTTCACAGAACAGGTCATGCTATCCACTTGATTATTAAAATCCTTCTCTGCTGAGGTCATCCATTGATGAGCACTCACATGGGATACAAATATCTTCACAGTTTTTGACTACTCAGAAAAGTCCATCCACATACTTCTTCCCCAAATTTCTTTGTCACCAATTTTCCAATCATGCTTTTTTCAAGTCCCTAACTCTCCAACCAAATCATTGGCTCCAGTACATGACCCAGTATATAATCCCACACCTGGCCATTTCTCCTTCCAAGCAAAGTGCACAACCAGGTGCACTGCTAGTTCTGTCCACTGGGAAGATTTCCCTTCACTGCTGTTTTTCAGGGATGTCCTAGAAAGGGGCTGCACTGCTGCAGCTGCCCACTTTCGGGTGGTGCCTGCCTATTGTGCAGAGCCATCTGTCAACCAGGCCCTAGTCTTCTCTTCCTCTGTTAACTGATCATGGGGAACTCCCCATGAGGCCATCAGTGCAGGCTTGGGGAGAGAAGGTAGAGTGGCAGGAGTGGAGACCGTGGGCATTTGAGCCACTTCCTCATGTAACTCACTTGTACCTTCAGGACCTGCTCGAGCCCCATCACATATACCACTTCCGTTTGATGATGGAATGCTGCTGTGCATGACCCACTTAATGGCTAGATGGGTCAGAAAGCACCTGGTTCATGATAGGCAGTTCAGGTCATATGGTGACTTGATGACCCATAGTCAAACATTGAGTTTCCACCAAAGCCCAGTAACGGGCCAAGAGCTCTCTCAAAAGGACAGTAGTTATTTTCAGAAGATGGCAGGGCCTTGCTCCAAAATCCTAGAGGTCTCCACTGTGATTAACTTATGGAGGCCTGCCAGAGGCTCCAAACAGCATCCTTATCTGCCACTGACACCTCAAGCACCATTGGATCTGCTGAGTCATATGGCCCAAGTGGCAAAGAAGCTTGCACGGCAGCCTGGACCTATTACAGAGCCTTCTCCTGTCTGGACCCCACTCAAAACTGGCAGCCTTTTAGACCACTTGATCAATGTAACACACCCAAATGAGGAATGTGTTGCCTCCCAAATCCAAATAGGCCCACTAGGCATTGTGCCTCTTTCATGGTTGTAGTAGGGGCCAAATGCAGCAACGCACCCTTCACCTTAGAAGGCCCTACACCACTGGACCCCTAGAAATTTTACTGAAGTAGAAGGTCCCTAAATTTTAGTCATATTTATTTCCCATCCTCTGGCATGCAAATGTCTCATCAATAAGTCCAATGTGTTTGCTACTTCTTGCTCACTGGGTCTAATCAACATAATGTCATCAATGTAATGGACCAGTGTGATAGCTTGTGGAAGCGAAAAGCGATCAAGGTCCGTCTGAGTAAGACTATGACACAAAGCTGGACAGCTGATATACCCCTGAGGTAGGACAGTAAAGGTATATTGCTGGCCTTGCCAGCTGAAGGCAAATTGCTTTTGGTGGGTGTTATGTACAAGAATGGAGAAAAGTCATTTGCCAAGTCAATGGTTGCATACCAGGTACCAGGAGATGTGTTAATTTGCTCAAGCAATAAAATACATCTGGTACAGCAGCTGCAATTTGAGTCACCACTTGATTAAGCTTATGATAATCCACTGTCATTCTCCAAGATCCATCTGTCTTCTGCACGGGCCAAATAGGAGAGTTGAATGGGGATGTGGTGGGAATCACCACCCTTGCATCTTTCAAGTTTGATGGTGGCACTAATCTCTGTAATCCCTCCAGGGATATAATATTGTTTTTGATTTACTATTTTTCTAGGTAGAGGCAGCTCTAATGGCTTCCATTTGGCCTTTCCCACCATAATAGCCCTCACTCTACCAGTCAGGGAGCCAGTGTGGGGGTTTTGCCAGCTGTTAAGTATGTCTATGCCAATTATGCCTTCTGGCACTGGGGAAGTAAGCACAGGATGAGTCCAGGGACCCACTGGACCCACTGTAAGTTGAACCTGAGCTAAAACTCCATCAATTACCTGACCTCCATAAGCCTCTACTTTAACTGGAGAACCACAGTGACGTTTTGGGTTCCCTGGAGTCAGCGTCAGCTCTGAGCCAATGCACAGTAGTCCCCAAACTGTCTGATCATTTCCCTTTCCCCAACACACAGTTACCTTGGAAAAAGGCCAAAGGTTTCCTTGGGGAAGGATAGGAGAAAGATTAACAGCATAAATTGTCAATAGTGTAGTGGGGTCCTTCCTCAAGGAAACCCAGCCTCCCCTTTATTCAAGAGGTTCTGGGTTTGTAAACTGGCTCAAGTCTGGAAATTGATTGAGGGGCCATGATTCTCTGTTTTTATAATTCAAATTAGTCTTTTGTCCATTCGACCTAGAAGTTTCCTGCTTATATAAATTAAGTAGGAATGCAGCAGGTTTCCTATTAATTTCACTTCAGAAACACCATGACTAATTAGCTAATGACAGAGCTTGACATGTGTCAGACTATTCTGATTGCTGCTTTGCCTCTGTTGTCCACTACAGTAGCTATGCTCATCTTGTCTTTGACAGATGAGTGCTGCCACTTGGCCCCTGCCACCTCAGCATCCAATTATTCCCATTGTATTCACATTTTGTAGTTGAGTGACTGTGGTTCCCACTGTTAGATCTGACATACAGAGAAGAGCAATTACAGGGTTCTTCAAAAATGCAGCTGAATCTATTTTGCAAAGCACAAGTGAAGGGTATATCTTCTGGAGCCTCCCAGCTGGGATGAGTAGGCTTAAAGTGACTAACCCACTCCACCATCGCAATCTCCCTAAGTCTTTGGATCCCTTCCTCTACGTTAAACAAAGGGAGATCAGGCGTTTCCTCCTCACTCACAGTGGGCCAACTTTTAATCCACATTTCAGCTACCCAAGCAAATGAACTATTAGAGCCTTTTTTAACTCGCTGAGCTGCAACATTAAATGCAGGTGTATATAATAGGATATATATGTATATACAATACACATCTATATAATATCTATATAATATGTGTTATATATACATATCTATAGAATAGCTACATGTATAAAGGGGAGTTTATTAGGTAATATTAACTCACATGATCATAAGGTCCCACAATAAGCTGTCTGCAAGCTGAGGAGCAGGGAAGCCAGTCCGAGTCCCAAAGCTATAGAACTTGGAGTCTGATGTTCAAGGGCAGGAAGCATCCAGCAGGGGAGGAAGATGCAGGCTGGTAGACTAAGCCAGTCTAGCCTTTTCACAGTTTTCTACCCCCTTTATACGTGCTGGCAGCTGCTTAGATGGTGCTCACCCAGATTAAGGGTAGGTCTGCCTTCCCCAGCCCACTAACTCAAATGTTCATCTCCGTCGGCAACACCCTCACAGACACACCCAGGATCAATAGTTTACATCCTTCAATCCAATCAAGTTGATACACAGTATTAATCATCACATAGTTGTTTAAATTTTTTTGAACTTTTGTTGTTTTTTTTTTGAGGCAGAGTCTTACTCTGTCACCCAGGCTGGATTGCAGTGGGGTGACTGTAACTCACCGTAGCCTAGAACTCCTAGACTCAAGGGATCCTCCTGCCTTAGCCTCCCTAGTAGCTGGGACTACTTGTGTGTTCCACCATGCCTGGCTAATTTTTTATTTTTTTAAATTTTATTTATTCAGCTCTTTCTCTACAGGGGATAAGACTGACTCAGGGCAACCTTAGAAGATTTGAGGCTCCGTATCTGCTTCTGAAGCCAGGAGTTCATCATTTTCTTTTGTCATGAAAGTCTCGCTGTGTTGCCCGGTCTGGTCTGAAACTCCTGGTTTCAAATAATCCTTCCTCCTTGGCTTCTCAAGTGCTGGGATTACAGGCCTGTGTCACTGCATCTGGCCCCAAAACATCTTGAGATGATTTTACTTATTATTGGCTTTTCAGTAACAAAATAGATATTTTAAATAATAGAATGTTCAGGGCACAGTGGCTCACGCCTGTAATCCCAGCACTTTGAGAGGTCAAGACAGGAGGATCTCTTGAAGCCGGGAGTTCAAGACTAGCCTTGCAACAAAGCAGGACCCTGTCTCCTTCCAATAGAAGGCTGTTTTATCTATACTGAAGATTAGTTGTTTAGTGTAGCCACTTTCATCCGTTGTCTTACTAGACCTTCTGGATAACTTGCTGCAGCTTCTTCATCAGCACTTCCTGCTTCACCTTGCACTTTTATGTTCTGGAGATGGCCCCTTCCCTTTCCCTTTTTCTTTCCCTTTCCTTTCCTTTCCTTTTTTCCTTTCCTCTCTCTTTTTCTCTCCTTCTTTCTTTCTTTCTTTTTTGAGACCAGTGCCTGTCTCTGTCACTCAGGCTGGAATGCAGTGGCATAATCTCAGCTCACTGCAACCTTCCGGGCTCAAGCCATCCTCCCACCTCAGCCTCTTGAGTACTTGGAACGACAGGCATGTGCCACCACATACAGCTAATTTTTTATTTTTTTTTGTAGAGATGAAGTCTCACGATGTTACCCAGACTGGTCTCAAACTCCCGGGCTCAAGCAATCTGCCTGCCTCAACCTCCCAAAGTGCTGAGATTACAGGCATGAGCGACCGTGCCTGGTGGCTTCTTTTCTTAAACCTCATGAACCAACCTGTGCTAGCTTCCAGCTTTTCTTCTTCAGTTTCCTCACCTCTCTCTGCCTTAGAAAATTGAAGAGAGTTAGGACCTTGCTCTGGATTAGGTTTTGGCTTAAGGGAATGTTGTGGCTGGTTTGATCTTCTACCGAGACCACTAAAACTTTCTTCCTATCAGCAGTAAGACTTACATTTTCTTATCATTCATGTGTTTACCAGAGGAGCACTTTTAATTTCCTTTAAGAACTTTTCCTTTGCATTCACAACTTGGCTAACTGGCACAAGAGGCCTAGCTTTCAGTGTATCTCTGCTTTCAATATGAGTTCCTCATTAAGCTTAATCATTTGTAGCTTTTGATTTAAAGTGAGAAACATGTAACTCTCCCTTTTGCTTGAACACTTAGAGATATTAACTGGCCTAACTTCATTATTGTTATGTCTCAGAGAATTGGGAGGCCTGAGAAGAGGGAAGGAGACAGGGGAATGGCCAACTGGTGGAATAGATGGAACACACACAACATTTATCAAGTTCACTGTCACTTGGGCATGGTTTGTGTTACCCCAAAGCAACTACAGTAGTAACATCAAAAATCGCTGATCACAGGTCATCATAACAGATACAATAATAATGAACAAGTTTGATGTACATGATATCATTGTTTGATACAATAATAATGAAAAAGTTTGACCAAAAGGTGACACGGAGACATGAAGTGAGAAAATGCTGTTGGAAAAATGGCACTGATAGACTTGCTCCGTGCAGAGCTGCCACAAACCTTCAATTTATAAAAAGTGCAATATCTGCTAATATCAATAAAGTGGAATGCATTAAAACTAGTTATCCTTGTATTTATCGCTAATTAAAAAACGCAAAAATACAACTATAACCACAATACGATTATCACACCAAATTAACAATAATTGCTAATAGCATCTAACTCCTAGTCTATTTAAATATCTCTATTGGTCTGATGTCTCATAATCCCTTCTAAACCCATAATACTATTGGCTTCGGGCTGTCCCCAACAGACATCTTTTCCCTTACATTCTCTTTATTCCTATACTTCATAGGCACTGAGGGACCAGGATTTTTCAAACAATATACCAGCTTCTCTAGAGGCTTTGACTTGGGCTGCCGACAGATAAATCTTTATTAAATCCTTGAGAATGATATTATTCAGGAGACACACAAGGGAGATGAGTGATGAGAAGAGGAGCTGCTGTTAGGAAAGTGGCCCCTGGACATTAGATTTATCACAGAATCCTTTCCATGACTCAGTTAATCTTTTCCATTTAAGTGTCAGACAGGATATTTAACCCCATGGAATTAGGAGTTGTTTCCTACTTTTGCCAGACTGCTAAGGCCAATGAATATTCAAGTGAAACCTTATCCAAATTTGGGGCTCTGCTGACCACTGAGGACCCTCTGTCTGAGTTATTGCTCCCGAAACCTTCACACTGAAGCTGTCTCTGGAGAGAGAAATATAGGGGCCAAGTATCTTGGATGAGCTGCAGTCAGTTTTCCAAGGATGTGGTTGATCCCAGAAAATACACAGCTAATTTATAAGACACTAGGAAGAAGGCAGCTGCCTTGAGGATAACATATTGAGGATTCCAGAGGTCAAAAACTGACTTTAGGCCATATTGGAAACTCTCACTAGCGTGAACCAAAGAAGCCTATGTGAAGCTGCTACAGGCCATCTAAAAACCCTTGATGACACAAAAGAGGTCAAAGATGAACATCTTGAAATGCAGACTGTTTCTGTATTGGCTGAGAGACTGATGGTATTTCATCTGGCAGGAAGGAAGTCAGGCAGTCAGGAACTCCTTCCTTCTGCTGATACTAGTCGTGATCTTAGGATTTAACCATTATTTTCAGTTTAACAAATATATGCATATATATATATGTATGTATCTGTATATATATGTGTGTATGTGTACACACACACACACACACACACACATGAAATAAATTCTTGTGGAAGAAAAGGATGTTTTCATGGTCTTTGAGTCCATAGAAGCCAATAAACTATGTTAAACACAGCCTCAGATTATCTGTCTTCTTTCTTCTTAATGCCTCTGCAAGATCATGCATTATCTCATGGTATTGGTATGTGACAGATTCTATTTTGAGTCTTCCGATGATTCCTTTATTTAGTCTTTCTGGGAACCAGAGTTTAGAAGAATCTGTGCAAATGGGAGTTGCCGCCAGTTCACTAGATCTTGCAGTCCTAGTTTCAAAGAGGTCAGTGTCTTTTTAAGGGCCATATGGAGGCTCGCACGTATTTAAGAGAAAGAATTCCTTGTGCCAAAAAGTGATCTACACAGCATCCTTGACAGAGTTCTGTTCAGTGATATAGTGACATAAGATGTCTCTGGCTGAAGAACTTTTTGAGTACTTAAATAATGGGAATATTTTAGTGAACCCAATAAACCCAAGTTAATAAAACTGTCCATTGATGTGAAGACGATTCATTCCCGATGAAACTAGCAAGACAGGAACCTCACACAGACAAGCATGCTGTCTTAACTTTTCCAAAGACGCTGCAGCTTTCAGCTGTAGCCATCATCATGCCATCTTCTTTACTGATATTTGGCTTGTTCAAATGCTTGGTGCACGTGTAATTACCCACTCGAAAAGGGTTTTTCATATCTGCCATTCCAAACTCCAGGCATGGCATGCTGATCTTGAGTGTGTGTGTGGGGTGGGGGGTGGGGGGGTTAAGGTAGTAAATGGTTAAGCTTTACACTTAAAAATGGTTAAAGTGGTAAGTACATAAATTTGTCACCGTAACCATTTTTTTTAAAGAAGTGATAAACAGCATTATTACCTTGGTATATCATACAGGTCTTGGTGTTGCTGCTGTTCCTTCACGTTTAAGCGGCTTTCCATCTTTCCTCCCTCCTCCCACAGTCTGGCTGCGCAGTGCATCCCGGGACCGTTAGCCCATAGCAGCAATATGCTTATTCCCTCCGCATCCCTAACATCAAGCATTCACAAGGTCTGGTCCACAAACCCTTCCCTACGGGAAGTTCAATGGTTGCCAAAGAATTTGTAGTAAACCCAGCCTCCCACGATGGCGAGCTCCAGTAAGATGATGACAGAAAGCAGCAGCTTGTTGGTTGTCACTTTTCTGGACATTGAGCGCAGAATCATTCGACTTTTGCCCAAGTTTTCACTTGTGTTTACCAGCCTACGCTTGGTGCATTCTAACTGGTCTCATTGTTCCCCCCAGCTCTTCTATAAATCATAGAGCCAATCTGGTCAGCCTCCATGGCAATCCAGTGAGAACGTTCAATGCCTTGGGTGGCCGAGATCAGGCTTTCAGCGCCTTGCAGAAGCATTGCCCTTTGAGACTGTAGCTGATTCATACGCTCATTCTCTACAACATCTGTGCCGTATTTCATGTCTCCTCAGCCTCCAGGTATGGCTGTCAAAGGTGTGCTTCTCACTTCCCAGTGGAGTTTGGCAAGGTGCTTCTGGTGGTGTGGAAGCTTAGACATCATGTGGTTAGGGAAAGACAGCGGTGCGTAACGTAGCTCATCCTCCATCTCTGCCAGCGTTTGTTTTATTTGCTTCCTATTGCTTTTCATCAAAATCCCTGATCAACTTCTCTTCAGTCCCCGCCATCCTGCTGGGGCACCCTTGTAGGTCTTCGCGGAGGTGGCCATGGTGCAGGCCGCTCTCGAGCAGCAGCCATGGAGCCTCCCAGCCCCGCGGCCATCACGGCGACCACTGCTCCGCCGCGCAGGACCACATTAGCCATTTTTAAGTGTAGAGTTCAATGGCATTCAGTATATTCACATGATTGTACAATCATCACCTTTGTCCACCTTCAGACTCTTTTCAGCTTGCAAAACTGAAGCTTTCCATCCATGAAACAGCTCCTCATTCTCCATTCCCTCTGCCCCTGGTGAGAATCTCGGTTCCACTTTCTGTCTTTGAATTTTACTTCTCTAGGTACCTTGTATAAGTGGCATTGTATAGTATTTGTTTTTATGTGACTGGCTTATTTCGCGTAGCATTATGTTCTTAAGGTTGCTGCCGTGAACATGAGCAGGTATATACCTGCAGGTGAAATTGTTGAATAATAAATATGGTAGTTCCATTTTTAAGTTTTTGAGGAACTGTTATACTGTTTTCCCTCATGACTGCACCATTTTACATTTCTACCAGCAATGCACAAGGGTTCCAATTACTCTACATCTTTGCCAAAAGTTGCTATTTCCTGCTTTTTTTTTTTTTTTTTTTTTAATAACAGTAATCCTAGCTGGGTGCAGTGGCTCACGCCTGTAATCCTAGCACTTTTGGAGGCTGAGGTGGGTGGATCACAAGGTCAGGAGATGGAGACCATCCTGGCTAACACGATGAAACCCCATCTCTACTAAAAATATATATATTTTTAAATTAGCTAGGTGTGGTGGCATGCGCCTGTAGTCCCAGCTACTAGGGAGCTGAGGCAGGAAAATTGCTTGAACCTGGGAGGTGGAGATTGCAGTGAGCTGAGATCATACCACTGCACTCCAGCCTGGGCAACAGAGCAATACTCCATCTCTAAAAATAAATAAATAAATAACACTCATCCTAATTGGCATGAAATTGTGTGTAATTGTGATTCTGATTTGTATTTCTCTAATCATTAGATGTTGACCATCTTTTCATATGTTTATTGGCCATAAAATCTCTTTGGAGATTTTTTTGAAGTCCTTTTGCTCATTTTCAACTGGGTGTTTTGGTGTTTGAATTTTAAAAACAGATTCTGGGTATTAATCCTTTATCAGATACAGTGAATATTTTCTTCCATTCTGTGAGTTGTGTTTTTACTCAGTTGATAGTGTCTTTTTTTTTTTCCTTCACCATTGGTCATATTTCAGAGGCAGAGGATTTATTTGAGTAGAGGTAGAAGTA